AATGATTCATCGGTAAAAATTAAAGTATCTTACCTTTACATATAAATCCAAAACATTTAAGTTAACATTTTTTATGTTTGCCTGTTGAAGTTTTTGTCTTGACTTGAATGTTCGGCTTCCGTCTCGATTTTTATTGATCGTCAATTGCGAGTCTTTTGGTAACGATCTTTTAATCTTCAATTAATTAACTTTGCAACAATAGCTATGAAGACTCGAATTCAATAGTTAGAAATAAAAACAATTTGTTTGTTATAATCAAAATATGAAATTAACCATAGGTCAACATATTCGTAGAGAAATGACACTGGCATTGTTTCTTAATTATTATTCGTTACCATTTTTTATACATATTTTAATGTTAATGTCAACTTTGTACAATTACTGATAAAATTTTCTTCCCTCCAAAGCCAAAAAAAAATAAAATAATAAAGGATAAATTTTTATACTTTTACACAAGAAATTATAACATAGTATCTCTCTTAATTTCTCCAATCAGGATTTATTTCTATTGATATTTGGTAGGATAAATTGATAAAAGAAACAATTTTGTGGTTCATCGATCTTAGCCACCAAAAAATCATTTTTATCATTTTATTATTTCAAGTTAAATTTTATAAATAACGATCATCGTGGGTAAAAGCTCGTATAGCTAAATAATAGTAAATCGAGATTTTCATATCTAAACTACTACCACAACATAAAATTGCCAATGAATCACTTAATGGAGTATGCATTTTGTGTTCTTTCATTGCGATTCTAAACATTTCTTTGACTTTTATTATAAAAATAAATAAAAAAGTGAACTTGAAATCCCTCTCTTTAAATAAAATCCAATAAAAAAAATACAAACATGAACTCGTAAAATAAACTAGAGAATTAATCATATTTTAGTAACGCTAATTAATTTGCTGTGAATATCATTATAGCTAGAACGCCAAGTCTAACCCTACATGTGCATGTGGGGGGTGGGGTGGGGTGGGGTGGGGTGGGGTCATTTTTCAATTCCATGCACCTCGCTCGAGAGTAACAGTATGATCAAACGTCTTTTTAGGTTGCCCCTAACGATAACAATACCAAATAGCTGGCTGGTTGGGTTTTAATTTGTCATGGACTTACAAGTATAATTAATTGTGTATTAAAAGTTATTTTAAGGTTAAATTCATTTAAAATAATGTATTAAAGAATTAAAGTTATCGACTTTAAACATTTAATTAAAGTATCAATCTAAAAATATGTGTAAAGACAAATTCTTTTAAAGTTATATTTCATGATGAGCGAAAATACTTTTATATGTGATTCTTATTTTTTTGTCATATCAATACAATAATAACGAGAGAAAGCATATTGAAGAGAAATGTCCAAACCCGCAATCAAGATCAAGAAGCCATAATTAAGAACGTCCGTTCAAGATCCAAAATCAATATCCAGTAATAAAGAATGGTTCACAATGAATCGATGTATGTCCTGAACTTTTAATTCTCTTGATAATTTGATTTGGAGGATCTTGACAATAAAGATAAAAGTATTTTCAAGTTCTTGAAATTTAAAGCTTGCAAAATCTAACATGGGTTCCATTATTTCGAAAATGCATTTTTCTTTCTTATTTTCAACCACGTTTTCTAATAAAATAATAATTTATTTTTTAATCACATTCTCTAAAAAATAATTTTTTTGTATTTCCCCAAATTTTATTTTTAATGGAGCCCAAACAGGGCTGGACGTCTTCTACATTTCATTGAAATAAATGTACGGTAACGAACTTGAAATGATAAAGACGTCAAAAAATATTCTCAAGCAAGAAAAGAGATAATTGTTATTCATTATCACTCGAAGAACAACTGCACGTTAGCCATACATTCGAATCCTATTTGTATAGAAATTTTAATTGCCTTTTTAGTTCTGATACATACTTCCTATAAGCTTCCGATGGTCTATGCGATAAATTCAAAGGACTGTAAATTACATGCAGATTCGACGCGAGAGAAGGAAACTTTAGTCACAACCAAATATTTTTTAAACATTTGAACTTTACTCGTGAATTGACTATATATTGAAAAAAAACGGACGTTTGTCATTTCTGAAGTTAGAGATGAGGATAACCGACTCGATACATTGGAGCTAAATGCTGGTGGTGCATGTTTTCAATTTTAAAGCAAGCTGCAAACTAATTGAGACAGCAATAGATCAAGCTTAAATTAGTAACTTTAATGTATACACTTTGATTGGGTACAAATTTATAATTTAAGTCAAAATTAAACATTAATTTCAACCACACATTACTAATTATTATTCCCATTTTTCGTAAAACACCCTACCATTTCTCTTACTATTCCTATTTATAAACCATTTATAAATGTGCCAAACAGAGGCTAAGTGACATTCTTTCGCTATAGATTTGTATAAACAAAACATTTTATTGAGCCTATAATCACTATAGAATTTAAAATGAATTTGAGAAAAAATAATGTTCATAAAAATCGTGCCCAACAAACCCTAATAGTACTCGAATAAAATGTTAAATTTTCACTATGAATTGCGAATATAATTTGCACTTTATTTGTTACTAGATTAATATTTAGCCCTTGTTCGAGCTCCATTATTTGGCGAAAAATGCATTTTTAAATAGTAAATTGATGAAGATGGTGTGATTAAAAAAATTAGAGAGAAAAATATATTTTAAAATAATGAAGCTTAATTCATAGTCAATAATTACTAATTAGAAAATATTTGCAGCATGGTGTATGCAATACATCACTATCACTACTATATAAAAGAGTGAATTTCATTTTTACTCTGCATTAGTCGAGCAAAACATCTTTCTCTTCTCCATTTGTACACGCTACCTCCCATACCTCATTATTTACTCCAAGCGAAGCGTCTTTTTCTTCTCTATTTATACATTCTACCTCCCATGCCTCGTTATTTACTCCATCCTTTTTCTGTATTTTCTAGTTTCAAATTTTCAATTGTTGTTCAAGAAAGAAATCTTCTCATTTACATTTTGAAGCTAGCAGGAAGGTCATTATAAGGTAGTTTCTTAGTCTTGAATTCCATGTGTATATTTCTCTATTTATTTATTGGAAAACGGAGATGTTACTGCATTACACTAGATGAGGTTTAGGGAGGAACTGGTTGCGAAGAAAACAAAAGTTGTTCTTTGCACTTACCTGAAATGGACCAAGAGGTCCGTGCTCTTGCGGACCATTTTAGGTCCGTTAAGCACGGACAATTTTAGGTCCGTAAAGCACGGACCTTATAGACAACTATTTTGAAATAGTCATCATTCTTCCAAGATTCTCTCCATTCAGAACGGAGTGCATCTCTCTGTTCTGAACGGAGAAATATAAACTATTTTTTTTCAAGCTATCAGACAGGCGGTGAGTAGAGAGAGAAATAATAGGAATTCAAAGAAAGTGGTTCACAGTTTTTTCATATCCTCTATCTTTATAAGTTGCGTGTTTCTCTTAAATTCACTTAGTTATTCATTCACTCAACTTCTAATCATTCGAAATTTTATGTGAAAGATTCGAATTAAGGTAGGGTTTTGGAAATTGGTGATTGAATTATGGGATTGGGTGATGTGGATCTTATGGATGATAGTGATAGAGATGGGGGCAAGACGGCATCGACGGTTGTTTCGTGCTCAATTTGCTTAGATGGGGTGACCGATAATGGGGCTAGATCCTGGGCAAAGCTCCAATGCAGCCATCAATTCCACCTTGGTGAGTCTAATTTTTCAATACATTTGGAAATGAAAATGATCGAGATCTGACTAACCTTGTCACTAGATAAAATTGATGTTTTTAAATTTAAATTTTGTTTTAATAGAATTTAAATGGAGAATTTTGTTCAATTCTAGACATAACTGTTTCGGTTTTTGCATGTTTACATTAGTTGAATAAAAAAAAAAATAGAAGAATAAGGCAAAGTAAAAAAAAAATCACGTGGCATGAATTCAGAATGGAGAATGGAGAGAATCTCTCCTTGCAGCAAGGAGAAGTTCTCTTCTTGCAACACGGAGTGATATCTCTCCATGCTGCACGGAGAGGTGAGATTTTTTTTCCCCTTTTTCAAGAGTGGATTTGTTTTTCACTTTGATTTTTATTTGAACAGTACATGCATGTTTATTTTTTTAGGAGTGAGCCTTCTTTGACTATTCATATGAATTGCGCTTTCCAACGTTGCCTCGAAATGTTTAGCAACTTATAAGAAAATTTTATATAATTAATGTTTGACATAAATATTCTTTTTATACATACGCTATTACGTAGTCAACTATATCATATCACGTGCCTTGCACGTGCTTCTTACTAGTTATTGTTTAACATCAATACATTACTCGAATTTACTAGTTTCGCACTGTCAAAACTTTTCCTATCACGACGTCGTTTCACTATACGTGACAGGTGTAATCTCAGACATTAAAATGATTTTAGAATTTTGATGTACACCTCCTCTCCTCAAAAGAGGAGGCCCACCCTCCACTCTGAGGGTGATGTACACCAAAACCCTTGATTTGATGGTGTGCTCCTCGAACAGGGCCACCCCGGCCTGTTGAAACAGGGGAGCCACTTGGCGCCCTCCTATTGGTAGGGGTCTGTGAGCCTGTTCCAGTAGGATCATCCAATGATTTTCTTCATTTTCTCCATCTTTCTTTCTCGAGAGATAGATACATCATACATACAGGCAGATACATACACCTATGCGCACATATAATTTATTAATTTATATGTCTTAGAGAGAGAAAAATATTGGGTTACTCAGAGAAAGCAAGTGGTTGGATTGGCCGTCCCGTTTGTATTACTCGTCACAGCTTCGTAGAGAGAGAGAGGATTAGAAGAGAAAATTTCCCTCTTTTGGGGGAAAATTTGGAGGCATATGTAAATTTGAAGGGATCGGAGATACAAGTTTTGCAAAATGAAGATTGAAAATGTTAATTGGTGAATATTTGAGCTCCGATCTTGGTGTAAAGGTTCGAAATTTAGGGTTTTGAAGTAGAGATGGATGTGGATTCAACTATCACTACAGAGCCCGAGCTTGGTCATGATCCATCAGCCCAAAAAACATCCGGGGGAGATTCGGAACAGCCTACTACTGCTCCGGAATCCCCATCGACTAATCAGCAGCCACCTTTGCAGCAGCAGCAACATCAACAGAGTAGTAATAACAGTAGTAACACTAGTGATATCAACAGTGGTGTTGGTGCTACAGTGGTTGCGGGACCGCGATGCGCCCCTACTTATAGTGTGGTGGATGCAACTATGGAGAAGAAGGAGGATGGGCCGGGTCCCCGATGTGGCCACACGTTGACGGCTGTGCAAGCCGTAGGGGAGGAGAGGACTCCTGGTTATATTGGCCCGAGACTGATTCTTTTTGGTGGGGCCACTGCTCTTGAAGGGAATTCTGCTGCCTCCGGAACTCCTACCTCCGCTGGAAGTGCGGGAATTCGTATGTTTTCTTTCATTTTTGAGATCTTGATTAATTCAGAATTTTCAGATATATTCTGTGTTTAGTTTTACTCATAAATGTTAAATGTGGACAGATGACATTTTGCCCTTGTTTTTGGTTTTATTAAGTTGATCAGAATGACATTTTTGCTAATCACGTGTGAAATCTTGAGTTACTTTGGAGCTCAAGTTCGGATGCTTTAGCCTGAATCCTTGGCTTTTTTTTTTCCTGTTCTTGGTTTTTGAATGGTTTACTAGAATATTATTTAGTTAGGTTGCAGTTGAATTGAAATTACTTGGTTTCTGTCCAATTCATTTATACACAAAAAGGACGGACATAATTGAAGTGCAGTGGATTTGAAAGGTGGAGACCCTAGCTATACTTGTTTGGAGTTGTTTGAGTGAGTGATAATTGGTTTCTAGTTGAAGTTATGAAGATGGATGCTTGGATTTGAATATTTCTCTTTATATTTGCTTGTTGTGATTCTGAATTTTGAGGGGGCTCTATATTTGCGGCTCTGCTTAGATGCTATTTTATCTAATTTACAGTTGATTTCAAGTAAAAAGATAAAGATTTTCTTATAGAAAATTGTCAAGAAAAGAAAAGATCCACAAAAATCTCAATCATTATGAAATGATCAGCAAGATCTGATTTCTTGACTAACTGGTAACTCAACTCATTATCTGGTGGAAGAAATGTGGTCTCGTTTTTGTAATTGAGTGAAGCACGTTCCTTAAACATGAGGCATTTTTTATGGATTTCTTATATAACATATGATAAAGAGAATGATGATGCCAAGCTTTTTTCTCGTTGCAAAATTAGAATAGAGACTTTGTTTACATAATACTTAACATGATATTCTATGTTGTATTTTTCAGGGTTAGCAGGGGCTACTGCTGATGTGCATTGTTATGATGTTTTGACTAATAAATGGTCCAGGTAAGCTTAAGTTGATGATAACTTGTTCAGTACAATCTGCAGGCAACTTTCTTGTTTTCTAGTTGTTGCTCATCTTAAATTGGAATTGTCATAATGTGGTACCATGCTTTTAATAACTCCTTAGAGTTACCCCTATTGGAGAACCACCTTCACCAAGGGCAGCACACGTGGCAACTGCTGTTGGCACTATGGTTGTCATACAGGTATGTTGACCTGTTGATTGACGTAAAAGATTTCATTTGATATTTACTATGTTATGATCAGGCAATTATTGCTGTTTTCCATCACAGGGTGGAATTGGTCCAGCCGGTTTGTCTGCTGAGGATCTTCATGTTCTAGACCTCACACAACAACGGCCACGGTGGCATAGGTTAGCCTCTTCATGGCATAAATAGCCCATATAATACTTGTTAATAAACACGAGAATTCACACAAAACATTTACAAATATATTATTATGAGATAACCCAGAAAAATTCTTAATTTTCTTCTAGGGTTGTGGTCCAAGGGCCGGGACCAGGGCCACGCTATGGACATGTCATGGCTTTGGTTGGGCAAAGATATCTCATGGCTATTGGTGGAAATGATGGTTGGTACCATTCAGAGTTTGTTCTCTTGTGTTAATCTGGTAACTTCAGAGAGCATTAATTTTATATTCCCTTTTTAGGTAAACGGGCTTTAGCTGATGTTTGGGCATTGGACACTGCTGCCAAGCCATATGAATGGCGGAAACTGGAACCAGAGGGTGAAGGTCCACCTCCATGCATGTGAGTTTCTTTCTGCCTTTTTTTGTCAACTAAGCTTTATTTCTTTCTGCCTTTTTTTGTCCATCTAGGTCTTCCCTTTTGACTTGAGCATTTCCTTCTCCCTTCCGTTATCTAATCATACTTCTATTTTAAATTTTCCTTGAAGTTGCTTAGACAGAACTCTTTATATATGTCTTTAACAGCGGCCAACTTCTGCATGTATACATCACTTAGGAAGCAGAAGTGGATAAAAATATTGTGTTTTCACCTTTTATCTTTTCTTTCGAAAAATGATTTCCTTTTCAATTGTATAGCATATTGTTGATCCTGGAATATTTCAAAATGGTTTACATTCCAGGGAAGGTCATTTTCTAAAATGAACGTCTCATGCATTGAGGTTTTATTTTGCCCATTAGCATGGGGACCTGATTACCTCTTTTCATTTGCTCAATCGTATTAGCCCAGTTTGGTATGGATAGAAATTAGATTTTTAGTAGATTTTGATAAAAGTTAGTGAAATGTATGGTTGAAGGTTGATAAAATTTGTGAATTCCATGAAATGTGTGGTTGAAAATGAATTTGTGGAAGGGGCTTAAGATATTTTTGTGGCATGAAGACCTTACCCTGAATCTTTTGGCTAGTAGGCTTTTAGCATCTATTAGTTGTATGGTGAACCTCACATGTATCGCTGATCAATTCTCTGGATCTCCCTTGTGCACTTTAAGTATTCTAGTCAGTAAATGCAACTCAACTTTTTTACCTAAACTTGCTGCACTTCACTTATCACTCATTTCCAGAAGTACTTTACGCCTTTTAAACAGCATGTTTGTAACATGTTGCTTTATATTTGTCTACATATTCTACTGCATTAACTGTTTTGATGAGCATTTAAAAATCTAACTGCTGATGTATTGCATTTTTTTTTCTTTAATAATTTCACCTCCTGTATTTACGGAGTTACTTAAATCAAGTAAAAAGTGGGGCCTGTTTAATGGCACTGTGTTACGGTTGAATTGATATCATTTACCATTTTACGGGAGTTATGCAAATTGAATGGGAAAACTAGGCTTGTTTTTGTTAACGGCAAATTGTACATGATCTTTGGAACATGAGGTTGCATGTTTGAGTTATAAAAGAACTACTTCAACGTGAAAAATATTCTAAGAAGCAATGTTGGGTCTACATCCTCGTCTGGTGATGCGAACTCACTTGGCAATAGTAGCTACGAAGCCCGCACAATATTGATTCAATCCCAAGAAAGTCAAGAATCAATGTTTAAGCTTGATTCAAAAATATTGAATTAAAGAATCAATACAATAGCCGACAATATGTTGACCCCGTGATTACAAGACTCAAGAATCTCACTCGGTTTGTTTGAACGCCTCAAGAAATAATTTTGATATGTTCAGAATTAATTGGACGAAGAACAAGAAGAAAGTAATAATGCCTTACAATTAATCTTTCAATTTTTGTATATTCTCCGATGAAAATAATAATCTTATTTATATGGAATCTATAAAACCCCAGTAAAAAGGGAATTAAACTCTGAAAATAACAAAAGATATCAGAAAATAGAGTTTTAACTAAAATAGAAAATTACGCGAAATTTAAAAAATTCTCGACCGGAAATATACTATGCGGTGGTCACACGGACCATATGAGCTCCTTCACTGTGGGTTCGGCAAAGGGGCATGCGACCGCATACCATGAACAACTATGCGGTCCTTCCAACTTTTTTGTCCATTGATCAAATCAAGTTGCTCTACTTCGTTTCATCTCCCATACCCAACATGAAACTTGTCTTTGCTGTGATCAGTGTTTCGTCCTCTGGGGCTTGAGCAAGTAGTCACATTGCTTCTTTGACTCGCTTCGCTCTCGACCTAGTCATAGGCCCTTCTTCAATGATCAATGGATCTTTGCCATAGACTGCCCTCGTATCATGTATCACACCATCTGGGCTTATTCTCTTTTGGTGGCTTGTATTAAAAACTGAGATAGACCCAGCTAGTCACTGAACTGGTTTCTTTGCGAGGTGATCTTATTCTCTTATGCTCTTTATCAGCATTCTCATTGTGTGAGCTAGGAGAGTGCCATGTTGAAATAGTTGAGCTGCATAATGTAAAGTCTCTTCTGTTAAATTAGTTTGTAAAATTGTTAAAAATGGAAATATCCTTTTACGTGACATTTTGTGAAATATGGACTGTGGATGGGTGTGTACAGCCGTACATTTGTTTGTGTAAATGAATGTTTTTGAATTTTGATCTTTTATTTGCCTATCACCTTGCCTAGGTATGCGACTGCCAGTGCCCGCTCTGATGGTCTTCTTCTACTATGTGGAGGGAGGGATGCGAACAGCGTGGTTAGTGCAATTTCTGATTTCACTTCATTGGCGATTTTGATGTACTTAGGTGCACTTGCCTTTTATCGCATGTGGTTTGTTTGATAATGGAAATTCAATGAGTTTTCCTTGAAAATAAAATTCTGCATTTGCTTATTTATAACGGGTCATGTCATCCCACCTTTCTAAAAGTTGTCTTTTAGTCCTATATTTATTAAAATAAAGGGGAGCTATGGTTTCATCTTCTTTCCCTATTATTCATTTTGGCATTCTTACTTCTTGGGGAGCTGGGGTAAGCGCACATGTTCTGCATAGTTCTTGAAGGTAAAATTGCTTATTTACATACATTCTCACTCACAAGTTTTGGTGGAATTGTAAAGCTGAAGGTCGATAGAATGGGAAATTTCGTTACTTGAGCTGAAATTTGGTGGGCCAAAGTGTCAACCTGTTAATGCTAACAACTTTTGTATCATATTTAGTTCATTTTGGATGCCTATTACCATCAACAGACATGGTTTATTTCTGTGTGGGAAGGTAGCCATGCATAGCTTGTCCTATAGGATTTTGTTGGCAGTTGTGCATGCTGGCATTTCATTTGAGATCAATTGGCACTTTGTGCTAACCTCCTCGTTTGAACACTTCTGTTCATATACTCTTCTGCAGCCGCTGGCAAGTGCTTATGGGCTTGCCAAACATAGGGATGGTCGTTGGGAATGGGCCATTGCTCCTGGTGTCTCACCATCTCCCAGATATCAACATGCAGCAGTAAGTTCTTTCATTGAGTAGCTGTATTAGCAAACTTTTGTCACAAAGACGAATAGTACTTTCCATCCTTTTCTTGGCAGAGATCATGATATATATCTGGGTGTTTCTAGGTTTTTGTTAATGCTCGTCTTCATGTATCTGGAGGGGCACTTGGTGGTGGACGCATGGTTGAAGACTTATCAAGTGTTGCTGGTACTTTTATTTATTTAGTTTTCTGTTGACATTTTCTTTATCTTTATTTCAAATCCACCGAACACTTAAGACACTGTTTTTTAAGAGCACGTGCATTACATCAAGCCCTTTCAAAAAATTTATGCGGTTATTTTTCTGTGTAGTTCTGGACACTGCAGCAGGAGTTTGGTGCGATACAAAGTCTGTTGTCACTAGTCCAAGGACTGGCAGATACAGTGCTGATGCTGCTGGTGGGGACGCAGCGGTAGAATTGACAAGGCGCTGTAGGCATGCTGCTGCTGCTGTTGGTGACTTGATCTTTATCTATGGTGGTCTCCGTGGTGGTAAGCCATTTTGTTCTATTAGAAAGATTTCCTTTCCATTGTAATTGGTATTGGTTTTTGAGGCGGTAATAATAATCAGTAGTGTTTTTAGTTATTTCATCTCTCTGATAACTTGATCTTGTTTTCCCAATTCTCTTCTAAGGCATTGACTCTTTCAACTTGATATGACTATCTAGTATGCTTTTGGTTTTTTTTTCGCCCCCAGGGCACATCTCTAAGTGGTAAAAAGGGAAGGTAGAAGAATTCCAGCTTTGCTTAAGGCTGACGCGTCAAGGGTTCGAATCCTAAAATATGGATTTGACTCTTGAGTAAGTGCAAGTGTACAATTAGCCTTCCACCCTATACCCTTGGAGGCATAATCTGTGATTTACCTTCTTCACCAAGGGCCCAGGGCAGGGCAGGTGGGGGTCGCTAAGGATGCAACTCATCCTTTTTTTAGTATGCTTTTGGTTTTCTTTATGAAAAATATTGGGACTCTTGATAGATGCGATTATTTTCATTAAAAGAGGACTCTTGATGTATGCGGCTAATGTAGTTAAAGTGTGGCTTCTGTTCTTGAATCCAAGTAATTTATGTTTAACTGTAAATATTACTAGCTTATCACAGTTGATCTGGTTAGATAATTAATGCTATACCCTTCCATCATTAAGCTCTATTTTCAGAGGTCTATACAAAAATGCTACCTAGTAGTTCCTATTTCCTGTCACTTCCTAAAACTGCCTGGAATATATGAGAATCTGCAAATAGCAACTGTATTTTGAAAATGTGAGATTTAATTGATTTCTAAAGGTGAAAAACAGTACAAGTTGGATAAATGTAATTGAAAAAAGAAAGACGACCAATTTCTCCTATTGACAATTATGATGTTGGTGACTTGTAAGATATTTGTATTGAAATAGCATTCTTCGAGTCAGTGCCCAACTCCTACAATACCAAACTTCTCAAAACATATCCCTCCCCTTACAGATCTCCCCCTCTATATACCCAAAATCCTCAATGAACATAACAGAATGTAAATGGCAAATAAAAGAATAGCCGACCAGCTCCGCAAATCTCTCAATGGTGTCCATTCAGCTCGAAATCGTTGAGCCAGCTCGGCTTCTTACGATTCCTGACCTCGCGAGCTCCTCCTGCCTCTTCTTCTGGATTCTTCTCTCTCTCTTTTCCTTCCTGGTTTGTTTTAGATTGGTTTATAGCTCCTTGGGCCTCTAGGCCTGCCCACTTCCTCAATTGCTCTTGGACCAGGCCATCATTGGTTTATAACTCCTTGGGCCTCTAGGCCAGCCCACTTCCTCAATTGCTCTTGGACCAGGCCATCATTCAGAACCAAACCAGCCCACTTACCTTTGTTATCACTCCCCTCCTCATCAAAAACGACCTTGTCCTCAAGGTCAGGCATATTGTAAAGTTGGCTAAAAGAAGTGAACTCCTCCCAAGTCGCATCCTCTAAAGGACTATGGGACCATTGTACCAGTACTTGTTTCACTAGTTTCCCGCGCACATTGATGGTCTGCGAAGCTGCAATTGCCATAGGAGCGAGCAGTGGTTTGTTGACTCTGCTGTAGCCCGGTAAAGGATAGCAAGTTATCGGCTTGTCACCCTTGAATGCCTTAAGCAAGGAGACGTGGAAGGTTGGGTGGATCCTGCTTCCCGGGGGCAACCCGAGGGTGTAAGCGACAGGCCCGGCTTGGCCGATGATGGGAAAAGGACCAAAATAGCGTCTACAAATCTTCGAATTAAGTCGCTTCGCTACTGTTGTCTATCGGTAGGGCTATAACTTGACTAACACCAGCTCACCTAATTGAAACTAAACGTCCTTGCGTTTCCTATCTGCCATCTGTTTCATTCGATTCTGTGCTTGCTGCAACTTCTGTTTCAGATGTTGTAATATGGCATCCCGAGTACTCAAGCTTTCATCCGCGGCCAGAATTGGGGAAGATCCTTTCACATAAGTAGGAATGGTGGGGGAGGATGTCCATATACAGCCTGGAAGGGTGACATTCCAATGGCCGACTGGTGACTAGTGTTGTAATGGTACTCTGCCCAATTCAAATAGAAATACCATTTCTTGGGGTGCTTGGCAACAAAAGCTCTCAAATACTGTTCTAGGTATCGATTCAACACTTCGGTTTGTCCATCCATTTGCGGGTGATAAGCTGAGCTTATTCTCAAGCGTGTCCCCATCAACTCGAACAACTTCCTCCAAAATTGGCTAGTGAAAATGGGATCCCGATCAGAGACGATGGTTCGGGGCATCCCATGTAACTTGATGACCACGCTACAGAAAAGCTCTGCTACCTTTGAAGCCGTATAATTCGCAGGAAGTGCTCCAAAATGAGCATACTTGGTCAAGCGATCGATGACCACTAGAATGGTGGTATTTCCTTGAGACTTTGGCAACCCAACTATGAAGTCAAGTGCCAAATCCTCCCAAACCCTCTCAGGTATCTCAAGTGGTTGCAATAACGCATTCGGTGCCGAAGTAGAATACTTGACAGTTTGAATTGTAATGCATTTCTCAATAAACTCCCTGACTTCCTTTCTCATGCCTACCCAATAGAAATTTGCACTAAGGCACAAGAATGCCCTCTCTGCCCCTGCATGTCCCCCCGTTGGTGTTTCATGAAACTCTTGTAACATCAGCTTCTTGAGCTTGGAATCCTTGCTAAGATAAAACCTGTTTTTGTAAAACAGTATTCCATCGCACCACAAGAACTCAGAATCAGCCAAGGTCCCTTCCTCCGACTGCTTCCACAACAATAGTAGGTCTTCACACTCTACATTTTCCTTATGTAAAGTTTCCAAAAACTCAAACTGGCCTGAGGAGATAGCTGTCCGAAGTTGTAGGTGGTGGAGTTCATGTCGTCTAGATAAAGCATCCGCTGCTGAATTTTCCGAGCCCGCCTTGTATTCAATTGAAAAGTGGTATCCTATCAATTTTCGAAGGGAGTGTTGCTGTTCCGGTGTTTGTATGACTTGTGTTAGGAGTTCCTTCAAGCTTTTGTGATCTGTGCGGATGATGAAATGTCGCCCGAGTAGATACTGGCGCCACTGCTTCCACAATTGCCTGAGCTCTCGCAAGTAAGTCGATGCTCCCATCATTCTTGGGCCCAACTTCTTGCTAAAAAATGCCAATGGATGACCCTCTTGCATCAAAACCCCACCGATACCCCCATTAGATGCATCTGTCTCAACCACAAAAGTCTTAGAAAAATCAGGTAGCCGAAGCACCGGTGTCTCCATCATAACCTGCTTCAAACGCAGCCGTGGCTTTATCACCCCGAGGAAAACTGCCTTTCTTGAGTAACTCGGTAAGAGGAGCAGCTATTGTTGCGTAGTTAGCTACAAATCTTCTATAGTAACCAGTAAGTCCCAAAAACCCTTGTAGTTGCTTCAAATTCTTTGGTTGTGGCCAGCTCATCATCGCTTCTACCTTAGCTTGGTCAGCTCGTACCCCATCTTGCGAGACTAGATGCCCAAGATACTCGACGGTACTCTGGAAAAATTTACACTTGCTCCCCTTAGCAAAGAATTTGTTGTGCAAGAGACACTGCAACACCTCCCGAAGATGCATCACATGTTCTTCCAAACTTTTGCTGTAAACTAGGATATCGTCAAAGAACACTATGACGAATTTCCTGAGGAACGGCCTGAAAATTTGATTCATTGCTGCTTGAAAAGTAGATGGGGCATTGGAGAGCCCAAACGGCATTACTTTGAACTTAAAGTGACCATCATAGGTCCTAAATGCAGTTTTATGTACATCTCGCTTGTCCATCCTTATTTGGTGGTATCCGGAACGGAGATCTATCTTCGAAAAAATAACGGCTCCACCAAGCTCGTCGAGTAGCTCATCAATCGTTGGGATAGGAAAACGATCCTTGATGGTGAGAGCGTTGAGTGCTCTGTAATCCACACAGAACCGCCATGAGCCATCTTTCTTTTTTACCAACAAAACTGGAGATGAATATACACTATTACTAAGGCGAATGAACCCACACTCGAGCATTTCTTGACAAGTTTTTCGATGATGTCCTTTTGAGAATAGGGATATCGATACGGACGGACATTCACGGGAGTTGATCCCGAGTGCAAATAGATCCTGTGATCAACATTATGGATAGGTGGAAGCTGCTTTGGTTCTTCGAAAACCACTTGATAATGCCAAATAATACCCCTCGCCATCGAAGGAAGAGTGCCCTCGATTTGCTCAATTTCTCCCTGCGTTGGTTGGCCCAATTCACTAAATCCTTTGCCTATTGCCGAAAGAGGGAATACGTCACTAACAAGGCCATCCTGAATCAATGTGTTAAACTGAGAGAGTGACCTGACGTGTTGTAGATGTCGTGCTTCTCGCGAGCTTCACCCTTTTCCCGTTCCATTCAAATTCCATAGTTAACTCGTTATGATCATGTAGTCATGGTCCCAATGTCCGCGGCCACTGCATGCCCAATACTATATCTAATCCCCAAATTGGTAACACATACAAATCTACCACAAAATTGTGCTCTTGCATCATACACTTTCTGTCACACACCAGGTACTGCTCATTGCCCATGTACACCTTAAAACGCCAGGCTATCTCCCATTTGAGCCCCAATCTTCCTACCAGTGCTTCTTGGATAAATTTATTATTACTTCCTGTATCAATAAGTACTTCTAGTTTCTCAGATCCCTGTTTAGCTACAATTCGAAAAATCTGTGGGTTCACTGAATTAGAAAAAGTGTTGAGACTTACTTCCAATTCTTCCTCCTCGGTAACAGATACTGGATCCTGGGCGGGGTCATCTGATTGGTCTTCTATATCATTCCCCCCCGATCATTAGCAGAACCTTGTTCTTGCACCTATGGTTCACCTGGTATTTCTCATCACAGCTGAAACAAAGGCCCTTTTCTCATTTCTCCCTCACATCATCGGGTGTAAGACGCTTCACTGGTATTCTAGGATTACTTAGAGATGAGCTTCCTCCCTTAGTTTACGAAAACGCACTCACAGTACCTGAACTTCCTGATTTATGTCCCGTTTGCACTGTAGCCTCTACGGTACGATAGGTTTCCCCTTCGAAGGTCCGGACCCCTTCCCGACGCTGCTTGCTCATCATGTCGTCAATTCTTTCTTCAAACAACTGGGCCATCGCCATAGCCTCTGCTAAGGATAACGGTCGTGCTATCAGCAATTCTCTTCGAATCTCTTTTTTTAGTCCCCAGATAAAGAAATTCAAAAACATGTGTTCAGATACACCTGATATTCGCGTCATGAATCCCTCGAATTCAACTCGAAATTGAGAAACCATGCCCGTTTGGACCAGCTTAGAAATGTGACCCAACAGGTCGTCGTAGATGGACGGTCCAAACCGTTTGCGGAGCTCATGAATGAAGATTTCCCAACTAGTGAGTGCGCCTCCCTTCTCCATCCATTGGTACCAGGTAGACGGCTCTCTGTCAAGATGGAAGGCCACCACAGCAAGTCTCATTTCCGGTTCCACCCATTGGAGATTGAAAAATTTGTTGATTTTGTAAATCCATTTCTCCACTTTACTGCCGTTAAATCGGGGTACATCAACATGTAAGATCTGCAAAATGGAATTCAGATTCCCTGTAAATTCTTCCAAGTTCACCCGTATGACTCTCGCTTGACTATGCGCAGCCGCCATACTGTCTTCTCCTTTCGACCGTTCCCTGGTTGCGGTTGGCTCTCGGTGTGATTGGGAAAGTTGATTCAAGCGATTTTCCGTGTTGACCATGAACTGCTCCAGTAGTGACGTGAACTTCGCCAACTGACCATCGGCGTGTTGCTTGAAGCTGGCCTCCATGGCTTTCATGGCTTCTGCAATATCTTCGTTCCTCATCTCTCTCAACGAGAGCACCAATGGTACAAATTGTAAGATATTTGTATTGAAATAGCACTCTTCGAGTCAGTGCCCAACTCCTACAATACTAAACTTCTCAAAACATATCCCTCCCCTTACAGATCTCCCCCTCTATATACCCAGAATCCTCAATGAAAATAACAGAATGTAAATGGCAAATAATAGAATAGCCGACCAGCTCCGCAAATCTCTCAACGGTGTCCATTCAGCTTGAAATCGTTGAGCCAGCTCGGCTTCTTACGATTCCTGACCTCACGAGCTCCTCCTGCCTCTTCTTCTGGATTCTTCTCTCTCTCTTTTCATTCCTGGTTTGTTTCAGCTTGGTTTATATCTCCTTGGGCCTCTGGCCAGCCCACTTCCTCAATTGCTCTTGGACCAAGCCATCATTTAGAGCCAAACCAGCCCATTTACCTTTGTTATCATGTAGGTAAACATGTTCAGGATACTTATTAGGTAAAAAGGACTCGATTTTACTTTGGGAGTCATGGGAGAATGTGACGCAACTTTTTATCTGCAGCTATGCATGTTTGAATTGAGTTCATTGCCACAAAAGCCACAGCAAACTCAAGTTGTTATGGATCAAATGGTCAAGATATGCAGTGAATATACATATCCATTACATTGACACCACACATGCATTTGTGAAAGAGATTTTTGAGATCTCTACACAGTCAGAAAGTCCTTAGTACTTGGCCTCTTAATTTCCATGGACCACTGGATATATGTTACTTCAGACTTTGGATTCCTGGATGAGGTGAGCTTGGGAAATGAATTGGAATGCTGGACATAGGTGAAGAAAAGATTACATGTCAAAATTGTGGATTTCACTGGATTCAAACCCTAAAACATTGAGAATGGCATATTTTAATTTGCTAATGCAGACAATAATACAACACTGCTATTTGCTTCTGTCACTGAGGTTCTGAAAGAAGTGACAGTGAGTTACCATCATGAATGTAGAAGCTTGTTATAATTATTGTTTGCTGAATATGAAGATGCTCGCCATATTTGAGGTGCCAAATTGTGCTTTCTGCGATTAAATTGGTAGCCTTGCTCTTTTGAGTGATTGTGAGCATCATTTTTGAATTCAAGTGGTGAGAAGACTGAAAACTTTGGAAGAACCTCAGCAGGGTTGTCATTTGAGTTGTTTTTATAGGTCATGTTGAGAAGTTTGTTTATGGTAGATAACAAGTCAATTGAGTTGTTCATGCAAGTGGCATGTTAAGATGTTTGTTTAAGCTACAATATGCTATTGCCCAAGTTCATCTTCTGGACCATTGTTCATATGTTTCAGGAGCTAGTGATAATAATTTCATTGTAATTGAAATCAAATTCAGATTAAACAATGTTTGGCATAAATTCATATTAAGCTCCTCTATGGTACAACTAAAAAATTTGATTAAATCTAAATCTAAGCCAACAATTAAATGTAACATTTCATAGGATTCAATTTTTTCAACCACACATTATATCAACTTTTATTAAAATTTACTAAAAAATTAATTTTTATCTAGTACGCACACACAGTCAGAGCCTTCTTTACATGGGTCTGTGTCTATAGTCCCATGCTGAACTTTATAACTCATTTCTGTTGATACTTCTGAAGTAGAAGTTAAAATTGATGGTTCATATTTTTTCTCTTTTCTCAGATTTTCTGTTTTCACCTTACTCTCAGGGGTCTAGATTATGTCCCTGTTTGGTAGGGATTAAAATTTGATTTTTAGTAGATTTTGATAGAAGTTGATGAAATGCGTGGTTGAAAAGTTATGGGTCCTATAAAATGTGTGGTTAAAATTAGTTGTTGACTTTGATTTAGATTAAAATCTGGATTTTAATTTCTACCAAACAGGAGCTATATGTTCCCTGTTCCTGGTCTGCTGGTTATTGTCTCAGATTGGATATGTGGTAGATTTGGGATAGTGGCAACGTTCAAAAGGCTCAATTGGGTACCGAGGCATTTTACCGATGTGAGGCTGAGGCTTAAGCCCGAAGATAACCCCGCAAAAAAAATGCAAAAAAAAAATTCTATAAGAAAGAAAACTAAAAACCCGTGACATTTTAACCCAAAAAGCTAAGGCCAACAATAAGAATTCCGAAGGACATGACTAACAATCGCATACCCTAGTGGCCCTAAGGCTTAGTCTTGAGGCACCAGCCTTAAGAAAAGGAGCTAAAATGTCAGTTTTGAGGCATTTAATGAAAGCCTCATGTGAGTTGGGTCTGACGGCGTGAGCCTCAATTATTTTTTCTAAACAATGGATAATTGAGTTCAATAGATTTGTATATGTGCAACTTTGCATATGGGCTTGCACCAACATGTATTATTTTTAGGTTTTAGTTATTTGAGTATGGAATCAAATGGTATTGATCATTGACATGTTTGTTGCCATAGGGGTGTTGCTGGATGACTTGCTTGTCGCTGAAGATCTTGCTGCTGCTGAAACAACGAGTGCAGCTTCTCATGCAGCAGCTGCTGCAGCCAATGTTCAGCAAGGGAGGTTAGCTGGTAGATATGGTTTCGTTGATGATGGAACAAGTCCACTGGTTCCTGGTGGTGCTGCTGATGGTGACGTTGTGGTAGGAATTCCTGTTGCTCCCCCTGTAAATGGGGATATGTATACCGATATTAGCACAGAAAATGCAATGCTTCAAGTTTCTCGGTATGCTCGCTACTAAATTCTGCATTGCTTTATGCTCTGTAATTTAGAATCTGTTGGTAGTTAGGCTCTTTGAGTCTCTTCAAGTACGGTATTAATTGTGGCATGCTTTTCAGAAGACAGAACAAAGGCGTCGAGTACTTAGTTGAGGCTGCAGCAGCAGAAGCTGAAGCTATTACTGCTACATTAGCTGCTGCTAAAGCTCGGCAAGTTAATGGAGAAATTGAGCTTCCAGATAGGGATCGGGGTGCAGAGGCCACCCCCAGTGGAAAACAGATCTCTACCTTGATTAAGCCAGATTCTGCAGTTTCTAATAATTCTACTTCAGCTGGAGTTAGGCTTCATCACCGAGCTGTTAGTATCTAGATGATTAATGAATTCAAGTCCATTTTATTCATGGTCAAAGTTCAGTTGGCTAAATGTTTAATTACATGCCATTAATACACCTGCAGGTTGTTGTGGCTGCAGAGACTGGCGGTGCTTTAGGTGTTGCCAGACAGCTTTCAATCGATCAATTTGAAAATGAAGGCAGACGTGTCAGTTATGGAACACAAGAAAATGCTACGGCAGCTAGGAAACTTCTAGACCGTCAAATGTCTGTTAATAGCGTACCAAAGAAGGTATTATTGTCCTTCCTCCCTAACATAATAAATCATATTGTGTAGAACTTTCAGGTGATCTATTACGGTCTTCATCACAACAACAAAAAATCAGCTAATTTATTCATGACATAAAATTTACTTCTTTTAGCTCTAGTTTCTGTACTCTACCCCAATAATATAGTTGAAAGTTTTTTGGTGTTATCTGTTTAATTTGTTGTGGTTATTATGGTATCATGACAATTTTATTTTGTTTTGTTGGTTATTGTTAAATGCACTGTCTTATCGTGGCTTGTCTCTTCCCTCCCCAGGTGATTGCTCATCTTTTAAAACCTCGTGGTTGGAAGCCTCCAGTTCGCAGACAGTTTTTCTTGGATTGCAACGAGATAGCAGATCTTTGTGATAGTGCTGAAAGAATATTTGCAATTGAACCTAGTGTACTACAACTCAAGGCTCCTATTAAGATATTTGGTGATTTGCATGGGCAATTTGGGGATCTTATGCGCCTTTTTGATGAGTATGGATCCCCGTCAACTGCCGGGGATATAGCGTAAGTTTTGTCTTCATAACATTCTTCTATATGTGTTAGGTCCCCAACAAAATTCTCAAGTTCATGGATACTGTTTCAATTGTCTTGATTTCTTAAAAATATGCTGGTGTTTACTTGCTTATTTTGACATTGCTTTGAGACTTGTTGTTGTCTGCTTCTTCGTGAAGTGAAGAGTATTTCTTTTGTAACTTAGGTCAACATTAGTTCTATTGCTGTTTGATTTAAAGTATTACATTTGTTTTTTAAACTTCGTCTGCCTCTGATATGTGGCTAGTTTTGCATTGATGACTATCAGATATATTGATTATCTCTTCTTGGGAGATTATGTTGATCGAGGCCAGCACAGCTTGGAAACCATAACTCTACTCCTAGCTTTGAAGGTAATTGGCCTCTCTGTCAGTAGTGTTATGATATTATTTTACTCGTATATTGATACGTGTTTTTGTTTGTAGGTTGAGCATCCGCATCAAGTGCATTTGATTCGCGGTAATCATGAAGCTGCAGATATCAATGCACTTTTTGGTTTTCGAATTGAGTGTATTGAACGCATGGTAACAATGATTAATTTTGTTAGTTCTTTTTTATGCCTGAATAAAGTTGTGGACCTCATAATCATGTCTTGAACAGGGTGAGAGAGATGGAATCTGGACATGGCATCGAATAAACAGATTGTTCAACTGGCTCCCCCTGGCAGCATTGATTGAGAAAAAAATTATTTGTATGCATGGTGGTATAGGAAGATCAATAAACCATGTAGAACAGATTGAAAGTATTCAGCGCCCAATTACAATGGAAGCAGGATCGATTGTCCTGATGGACTTGTTATGGTTTGTGAATGCCATTGCTATATGTTTTCAACACCATTCAACTTTTTCTCATCTCTAATCTAACATGTGAATTTTTCTGGTAGGTCTGATCCCACAGAAAATGACAGCGTAGAAGGATTAAGACCAAATGCAAGAGGTCCAGGATTGGTTACCTTCGGGGTGGGCACTTTTCTCATTCTGTCCCCCATAAATTGATTGAGGATGATAAGGGTGAATGTTATAAATTGGTTTATTTTAGTAGAGACCTAGGCTACTCTCAGAATTCACTTTGAAGTCTATTAATTAAAACATACAAGTTACTTTTGGCATGATATTTCTTCCCATTGCAAAAATTCTTGGAGTTTTGGGAGACATTAATTTGAAGTCACAAGCATGAATCCACGTACTTGTTCCATTGAAAAAGATAGTAGTGCAATGAAGTATATTCTGGGCTTTATCTACTTGATTTGAGGGAAGGTAGTCCTGTATCTGATGCGTGCATAAAACAGAAAGGTATTTAGTGAACTCTATTAAGGACTGGATAATGATGTAATTGAATGGGACATTGGAAATACTATGCTATGCTAAGCATTGTTGGCCCCTATTAAGTATACGAGTTAATTCTTTCTTCTGCAGGTGATTGTCATTGTTTCAAGTGCTATCAGTTGTACACATTGCTTGTTACTGTCACATAAATGCCAAGTAATATTATGTTGAAAATTGAAATAAATACGTGCCCAATATTTCGTATAAGAGTTAGCATTGTTTTACTATACTGTGACCCATTTATGATCAGTTTTCAACTGTTTATTATGAATTTTCTTTAGCAAAAGATTATTCTACCCGTTAGAGAAATTATTCAGTGACTACATGGAACTTCTATATTATATCATGACAATTTTTGCTTCATTAATAATATTAAGTGCTTCTCATATTCTTGCCTAAAATGTTGGATAATATATCTTCTTGTACGAAGATATGAATGGTATTCTTGGATGTTCTCTAGGTCTATAAAGTTCAAGATGATAATATCTCAGCTGCAGCTATATTATGGTTTAGAGTCCATTATTTGATTCTTGTATGTGTGAAAATGAGATTTTTTTAATGAATTGCTAGTATCTCTATCAATTTTGAACTTTCTGTGATGTTCATCTTTGCAGCCTGATCGTGTAATGGAATTTTGTAATAACAATGATCTACAATTGATTGTTCGGGCTCATGAATGTGTGATGGATGGATTTGAAAGATTTGCTCAGGGACATTTAATTACTCTCTTTTCAGCAACAAACTACTGTGGTATGTCCTGATATGTTGACTATTAACTCATTGTCTGATTCAATTGTTGCCTTTTGGTTTGAGTATGGCTATATATGGAATTTTTATTTTTGACTTCTTCAGGTACTGCAAACAATGCTGGAGCTATCTTAGTCTTGGGTAGAGATCTAGTGGTGGTTCCAAAACTAATTCATCCATTGCCACCTGCATTTTCATCTCCCGAGACCTCACCTGAACACCAAATAGACGACACATGGATGCAGGTGCAAATGACATCTTTACTTTTGGTTTCCAATATGTTCATGTTCTCAATCAAGTAAAATTGCACCGTTGGTCCCCCAATCTTTCATTATAGTTGCATAGTTAGTCCCCAATAACAGAAACCTTCCAAATCTATGTACGAATATCAGATGACCCCCACATGCCCAACTTCATGAATCTAAATTTTGCTTCTCAACTTGGGCTGATGCCCAGAAATTTGAAGTGGCGTGTTTCCATCAGGGCCACTTAACAATTTAAAAGATTTGGAAGACTTCATCTTTTTTATATTTTACCGGGACCTATTGTGCAACTGTAATGCAAGGTTGGGGACCAACTTAGTACTGGGACATTGCTTGGGCCAAAGATGCAATTTCCTTTCAATCAATGTCTTGTCCACTCCTGCTGATGTTGATCTTTCTTTGCATTGTGAAACTAGGAGCTCAATGCTAACAGACCGCCTACACCAACTAGGGGCCGTCCTCAAGTGACTAATGATAGAGGTTCTCTTGCTTGGATTTAGATTTTGCTCCCAGATTGCTTTACCGTACTTCCAGGCTCATGCTAGCACTCGGAACTTTCCAGTGATCTGTGCATAGCATGAGTCCATGGTGAGGATTCTGCAGAGATAAGTTAATTCTCTCTTTGAGATATGGAGGGTCTTTCTATCACTGGAGTGCCTTTGGAAGATAAAGATGAAGAGTTTGAACACGTTGCAGGCGGCTAGTTGTAGACTACATTTGTTGTGCTGAAAGCAGTTCAGGGATTCCAAAAGCTGTACATGATCCACAACAGGAGAAGTTAAAGTGTCATTTCTTCATTTGTGTGGGTAGGCTTCGTTTTTTCCTTACTTTATATATTTTTCGTCCATTGGGTAGGTGCATTATTGTTATTTGTGTTGTAAGAGGACTTGAAGTTCGTATACAAGGTTGGTGAGATAGAATCATAATCGTCTTGTTTGTTCGTGTATAATAGAGATTTTGCTCTATAACTTGTGTTTGTACTTTGTACAATGTAATAACCTTTGTGTGAAGATAAGAAGCTGTCCTTGCTTTAGAGAGACTGTTGGTAACAAGTTTCTGAGATGCAAAGCTTTGAAGCAATGCTACACGATGGGAAAGTAATGTTGAAGCTGTCAAGGCAATTAAATTTCAAGCTCCTGAACGAAGAGAAGCTTTACTTGAACTGGCTGAAATTGAAAATGACAATGATGTGTAGTGTCTAGTTGATGCTTTAGCAACCGTTTGTGTTGGAAATTTTGAATTTTTCTAGCTGTGATTATATGGTATGAGATATTGTATGTTGTTAACTTAATTAGCAAATACTTAAAATCTAATAATATGCTTAGCGATATTACTAGTGAGGAAGTGAAATGATTGATTGGCTGCTTTCCTTAAAAAATAATGGGAAATTGGATTCATTGATGACATAAATATTGCTAAAGAAATTGCTATTGAAATGAAAAGTGATCATGAGTGTACAATTCGTGAAAAAAAAAATACATTTTGATGAAAATTCCGCCGTGGAGGACACACAATCACCAATTATTTCCTTTATATAGTAGATTAAGCAATTTGATCACTACGTATAGAAAAACTCTTAGTTTCTTTTTTCTTTTGAGAAGTTAAATTTATTGGATGATGCTAATTTGAAAATATGTTAACATTGTTCTAGAACGTGGAATTTTTTGTGATCTTGACGGCTAAGATATATTTCAATGGCTAAAAGTTCTGTGAAATCTTTTACCAAAAGCAAGAGATAGCTCTTGATGTATTAACTTAAATGAAAAATATTTGATTTTTTCTAAATGCATTTATTGCTCATAGAATAATATTAACAATACCTGTTGCCGTTGAATTTACACACACAAGTTTTTCAAAATTAAAATTATTGAAATCTTACTTGCTGCCAACTATGTTACGAGAAGGACTGAATGTGCTAGTTTTAATATCTATTGAACATGATTTGCTACAAAATATTGGTTACAAAAGATTAATTAATGATTTTGCGTCTAGAAATGCGAGGAGATTACATTTCAATTCCAAATGGTGGTTGAGGTATACTTTGTTTTTTGTTTTGACAGATTTGTTCGTATGGAATTTCTTGAAGACGTTAGTGGTTTAGATCATGTATTTATTTTTTGGGAAAATATGAGTTTTTAGACGTTGTGAAGGTGCTTTCAAGCATAAATCAAGTGTTCTACTTGTATTTTGTCATTCATGATATATATACATACTAGTCGTTGACACGTGCGTTGCACGAATTTTGTATTTGTTGTGTTTTTATTAGTGTAGAAATTGTAGATATTAAAAAAAAAGTAGTTTAAGACTTATTGGATTATTCGGGAGCATATTATTGCTTCGCTACTGCTCCATCTAACATAGTAATTATTTCAAATATTACTGCACAGAGAAACTCACCAAAGATAAAATTGAAAACATTACGTGTATGTAGATGATAATAGAAACGTTTGACAAAATAAAATTGAAAACATCACGTGCATGTAGAATAAGACAGTACATGATAATAGAAACGTTTGACATACACAAATATTGCAAGTTTACAGAAGTAAGAAATATTTGATTAAATCTACTGTAAATATCAAATAACATTGAAATAAAAGAGAGAACGATTTCAATAAAATCCAAATCCCTAACATAAGTACATGAAGAAGGGAATAAAAAAGTACCGAAGATGAAAAATTATAAATTTAAATATTAGAAAATGAAGCAAAAGAAGAACACACAATATGGAATGAACCAAAACAATTTATGAGAAATAAGTTTTATCGCATTAAGAAAAATAATTAGCACACATGTTAGCATTCTCCATCACATATTGTGCCTCAAGCAGTTTAGTTTCTGTCACAATAGCCAATTTTGTATGCATCTTATCAAATGAATTTTCAACCCATATAAGTCGACCAGCTTACAAGCTATACACATCGTTAAAATAAAAAGGAAAACCTTAGAAGTACATTTTTAGCAAATTCGTCAAATATTTCAGACTATGTTCCACTTTTTTAGTATCTACGGGATCAGCCTTCTTGCGCCTAAATATTAATTCAGCAGATTAAGCAGTGATTTTATCTTGTGACTGAAAACCACTCATTCTTGTGAATGTCTTTTTTATCCCTGGTCGACCCCTGACAAAACCTTAATTAATTGTTAATGTTTCTCTTCCTTTTGATTTAAGATGGTCGCTTAAAAAGATACTATATTTTTTTATTTTGTGGATCAATTAGTTGTGGGATGTCGGATTTATCAAGAATTCTGTCAATTAAATCTATAGAGAAGTGGGAACAATACAAACTTCTTAGTGGCAAAAGAAAAAGTGTAGAAACCACCAAATCATTGATGCCAAACAAGAGGGCGGAATATATAGATGAAGTCGTACTTTCCTTCTCCAACCCAAACAAACGTCCTGACAAATTATCTATCTTATCACTTCCCCAACTCCAAGCCCCTCCTTGTTCAAAATTCGAATCTCCATTAACCCAAATGGATAAACCATGAACATTAAACCATCACCATCACTACCATCCTCATCATTATCACCATCCACCTCTAGCTAGGGGTGGACATGGGTTGGGTTGGGTCGATTTTTGCCTTAACCCAAATTCAATCCAACATGATCGGGTTGATCAAAATTTAACCCAACCCAACCCAACCCGACCTATCAAGTATCAGTCGGGTTGGGTTAGGTTGAGTTGGTCGGTTTGGGACAACTTATCAAAAAAAATTAAAGTCATCCAATTTTCTATTATACTAAATTCGAATAGATAAGATTAAAAAAATAATAAAATTATCTATTATCTTATTCAATCCTCATAAGTAGAGTCTGCAAAGAACAAAGTGCATTTAACATAACATGGAAAATTTATACTACATTTCTTGTGGGAAGGACGATAAGCTCCTCTAAAATGCACCAAGGTAATTACGGTTACACTATTCACTCATACTTTTTAGATTCTTTTTACTTTTTAGGCATTTTATTAATTTTTATATTATAAAGTAGTTTAGTTGGGTTAGGTTGGACGGGTTTATTCGATTTTCATGAGTTAACCCATAACTCGACCCGCCTGCACAACCATCCCACCAAATCAGTGTAAAAACAATAAAAAAATCGACCCAAATTGGTTGGGTTGGTTCGATTTTTGCGGGTTCGGTTGGGTTTTGCCCATCCTTACATCTGGCCATTTTTATTAACTACTCTTCATTGGGTTTTACCGCCACCACCTCTAAACCTCCTTTATTTCGGAATCAAACCACCACCAATCCCTCCAACACCTTCCTCACCACAGCTACCAACAAGAATTTTGTTTTCCAATTCCCGAGAGCAAATACTCACACTTCTTCAACAAAGGAAAACTGAAGAGGCCTGGCTAGTTTACACACAATATGCAGACCTCCCCTGTCCTAGCTGCTTAAGTTGTTTGGTCTATAATTATCCTATCAAACTATGAACGTGGAACTCACCAGTGCCCAGTCCATTATCCAACGCCTCCGGCAGGAGCTATAGCTCCACTACTTGGATGCTAATGCCCTCAACTCCTTACGGTAGTAGCCGCTAATGGCAGGCAAACCCTCTACGCCACCTGCATTATCAAGTACATACTTAAGTCTGTATACTTCCCCATGTTAAGTCATGAGCTGCTGTAACGACCCTATTCAATTCGTGACCAGAAGAATCTATGAATTTGCAGATTTTGAGATGGTTAAGGACTTGAGGCCAGACAAGGGTGCTTACAATGATGTGGTCAATGCTTGTGCCAATCTTGGTGCATCAAGAATTTTCTGCAACTGTTTGACAAAATACCAGAATTTGGATGTGAGCCAGATTCTTTGACATATGACATCATGATCAAGCTCTATGCTAGAGTCCAAAGGAAAGATTTGCTCTTGTTTGTTTTGGATTGGATAATAGAAAATGGGACACCTTTACATATGACAACAATGTATTCTCTTGTTGCAGCTTATGTCGGTTTTGGTAATTTTGAGAATGCAGAGCAAATGATTCAGGCAATGAGCGATGGGAAGAAAGATATTTACGGATTCTAAGGGAGTTGATTTTTGAATACCAGTATGAAGATGGTGCATCAAATTTCCTCAAAAGCAATAATGGTTAACATAGTCTACTATACAAGGCGTGGATATTGTGTTTGATTAATATAATTTTCCACCTTGAAAATGTTGAAATTTTGGATCTTTTGGTGTTCGTTTGACTTTATTTTTCATGAAACTTGTCCATTAAAGGGATTTTTTTTTTTTTTTATTTTTACAATTGGGTATAGAATTTGTTTC